GCATTACCCAGGCCAATTCTACTGCTGACACTAATTAGCACTAAATTGGCTTAACAATGCAATATTTTAAGCAATTCAATAGTTCCAAATGTTTTACACGGGACACTTTTTTTTCCTAATTGACTTCCTTGACTTTCTTTATTCTTTCATTGGGTGTGGTTATTGCATGTGTTATTTGTCACCCATCACTAAGTGTTTTTGAATTGAGTGACTTGTCAGCATGTTTCAGTGAGCAGCGAAAGATCAGCCACATTGCTGTGCATCTGGAGTCACATGTAGGTCAGACAAGGTAGAGCAGCAGATTTCCTTCCAGAGAGGACATTAGTAAATTAGGTGACTGTGTACAAAAAATTATGACAATTTCATGGTATTGTTTCCAATGCAACGTGAAATTTTAACACATAAATTGTCCAAAGATCATGAAGCAGGAATGCTTTATTCCACTGGGATCAGACAATTACAAACATGAAGGAAAATTAAGGTTCAACAAGAAATCAAGCTTGTGGTTTACATCTGGCTGAGGAAATATTTTGTCTATCTGATCCTTCTTCCCCCAAAGATGATCCTTCATCTGGAAAGGTTCAGGTCATCTGCCCCAGCTACTCTGTTGATACCCTCTCTCACCATGCCTACATGATGATGGAGGTCCCAGCATAGCTGCTTCAGCTGCCCTGCTTGGTGCCCTGTTTCACCGTGCCCACATGCTACTGTTACACACTCCCCTGCTTGAGAGATGCCAATGAGGCAATACACATTGCACACAGTGGCCATTTGCTAAGCAGTTGAGTGATTATTAGATTCAATTGTGCCACGCTTGCTAGAATGCTTATGTCCACATTAACGGCAGCATTCTCTTCTTGCATCACTGAATTCAGCAAATAGTGTTATCAGCATTTGTCGAGAAGACTTTCTAGCTTCTTATCTGTACTCATGCCTTGTAAGGGGAGACTCTACTGTGGATTACCCACATTGGCGTCTAGGAAGTTAGATTTGCAGGAGTCACACATTGCATTTGTTGCTTCAATATGTTCTGCCTCTTGGTAAGTCATCCTTGTACCATTTCCAGGGTAGAAGCAGGCCTCCTCACACTGGATACACCTCCTAGATTCACAACATATAGGTCCCTTCGGGATTCCTCATCATTTTCTGGGTTCTGTTCACTCAAGTCATCACATACTGACACTTCACATTCCACAATGCTCCACAACATCTAATGGATTTCTGACCTTATATTATTCCACTCTGTGAACCAGTTTCTGAGACTGGACACATCTACTGGTTCAACAAATGTGTGAGGCCATAGACACTTGACAACTGTATGGTTCAGGGTCCCACGCATCCTGTGTTTTGTTCCGATGCAGATATTCCAATTTTGGTGGAATACCCTTGCACCAATTACCAGCCTTGCAATCGTTCAGTATTTCTCTCTCATTCTTCTTGAACAGCATCTCAAAGACCTGGCATAACGCTCAACTATCCACTTATTAACCTGCCTATACCAACAGAATGTGTGGTGACTCCAAGGAGATGGTCACAGGAAGGTCTCGTTTAAAGAGGAGCTAGTTTGGAAAATAGCCCTTGAAGGAGTACAGGGTCCTTTTTAAAAATTTATTCATTGACTCATGGGACATGGGCATCACTGGCTGGCCAGCATTTATTGCCTGTCCCTAACTGCCTTTGAAAAGGTAATGGTGAGCTGCCTTCTTAAACCATTGCAGTCCACATTCTATCAGTTGACCCACAATGCCCTTAGGGAGGGAATTTCAGGATCTTGAACCTGCAACAGTGCAGGAACGGTGATATATTTCCAAGTCAGGATGGTGAATGGCTTTGAGCAGCACTTGTAGGTGGTGTTGTTGCTACGTATCTGCTGTTTCTGTCCTTATAGATGGAAGTGGTTGTTTGGAAGGTGCTGTCTGAGGATCTTTGGTGAATTTCTGCAGTGTAGCTAGTAGATGGTACTCACGGCTGCTACTGAGCATCGGTGGTGGAGAGAGTGCATGCGGTACCAATCAGTAGGCTGCTTTGTCCTGAATGGTGTCAAGTTTTGTTGGATTTACACCCATCCAGGCAAGTGGGGAGTATTCCATCACATTCCAGACTTGTGCTTTGTAGACGAAAGACAGACTTTGGGGAGTCAGGAGGTGTGTTACTCCCACAGTATTCATAGCCTTTGACCATCTCTTGTAGCCAGTGAGTTCATGTGGCAAATCCAGTTGAGTTTCTGAATAAAGCCCCTGGATGTTGATAGTGGAGGTTTCAGTGATGGTGACACCGTTGAATGTCAAGAGGAGGTGGTTAGATTGTCTTTTATTGGAGATGGTCATTGCCTAGCATTTTTGTGCTGTGAATGTTACTTGCCACTTGTCAGCCCAAATCTGGGTATTGTCCAGATTTTGTTGCATTTGAATGTGGATTGCTTCAGTATCTGAGGAGTCATGAATAGTGCTGAACATTGTGTAATCATTGGTGAACATTCCCTTTTCTGACTTTATTATAAGTATAAACCAGTTTTGGAAGGTACTCAGGCTAACTTAATTTACTCTCAGTCGGCAAGGTGTGCAGATGGTCTTGCTTTGTTCATACTGTCCATTTCCCTCTGGATGATAGGGGGTGGTGAGGCCATTGACCGTCTAAATTTCCTGTTGGAGCTTGTTGTCAACGTTACACTCCTGATCACCGTATATCTGACATAGAACACAGTTATAGATAAACCAATCGCGTATTAACATTCTGGCTATTGTCAAGCTGTTAGGTCACGTAGGGGAATGGCCCGCGTGAATTTGGAGGAGACATTCATGAGTACAAGGAAATGCACAGTCCCATTACTATTGGGGCCAAGGACCGTAAAATCCAATGCACAGAGTTCCAGAGGTCTCTTACTGAATAGGGATACTGTTCTGGGGTAAAGTCGCTTCCCTGCATTGGCAAAAGGTATACTTCTCACAATTTCGGCAGTAGTTATGGATATCAGCAGCCATCCTGAGCCAGTAACAATGCTCTCTGTTTAGGGCAGTCATCTTTTCCATTGCTTGGTGTCCTGCTTGATCGTGAACTCCTACCAACTCTGACATTTGAAGCTGTTGGGAAGAATGAATTGTTTCACCCCTCTTTCCTCATCATGAATCAGTCGATACAGGGCTCCATCCTTCTCCCCAATCCAAGTTTCCATGCCTGTTTGAACTTTCTCATCACCTGGAACTGGTTTAGTGGATTTTGGGGTTTCCAGTAATGGCTCCACTTCAGAACTGAAAGGAGTTGGTTCATTTCCCAACTCCTTTCAGGTCTGAAGAAATCATACTGGATATGAAATGTTACCTCTGTTTCTCTCCACAGATACTGCCAGACCTGCTGAGTTTCTCCAGCATCTTCAGATTTCCAGAATCCACAGTCTTACGCTTTTACCTCCAGTAAAGGTACCATTTATCAACCAGCTGAAGCTGCCTGAGGTCTGCTTTTGAGATGGATGGCAAACGTTCTTTCTGCCTTGATCTGTGCCTCCAAGAGCAGCTTTGGCCTTCTTTGTAGACATTACCAGTTTCAACTCTACATCATCACCTAAATCTCAGCTAAGTGCCTTTCAACCTCATTCACCATGACGTGATTTTTGTGACATGGAATCCTGCCAACTCAGCCACAAAAATAACAAGAAATGTGAACACATGCATAGCCTGAAGGTCATGAAGCAAGGATTCCGCTGGTTTCAAGTCATTGCAAATGTGAAAGGAAATTATGGGTAAACGAGGAAGGCGTAGTATTTACATGGAATTAAGCTGGTGGTTTATATCTGGTTGAGGAAATCCTTTGTCTGACTGGTCCTTCTCCCCATTCCCATTAAGATTCCTTTCCCTCAAAGACAGGAGATTTGTAGAGGCACAGGAAAAGCATTTATCATGTAATAAAACATACTTTTTTTTTAAGAAAAACGTTAACTGAGTGGTGTCTTCAAATACCTTTAAAGAAATCCTGGTTCTGATCCACGTGAGCAGCTCTGGGACTTGCCTACAGCAGGTGACACATGTTTGGTTGGGAAAATTGTGTCTGGTTACTCTGTTTTTCAAGGTTTGTGGAGAGTTTCAGAAGTGCGGAGGAGACCCAGCAGTCCATGAGAATGAGATTGTAACAGTCTTTAAACCTTTTTATTTCATTAATCCTACTCTCCACTCCATTGCTGTCTGTCAGCCTTCACCTTTGAACCTTCTGTAATCTATTTAGGACCTGACAACACTCCTCAGCAGCCCCCATCCCAAGTTGCAGCCGCCAATTAAAATGCTTCATGCATTAGTGTGTTTGCATTCATTTCATAGCTTTCATGAGTGTAGGACTTTACAAAGCACCTTACAGCCATCAAAGTACTTATGAAGGTTAGTCATTGCCTTAAGTGAGAAAAGTGACATTCAATTTGCACGCAATGATTCCCCTTAAACATGAATGAAAGAAATTAGCCAAGCTTTACATTTGAGTACTGGTTGAAGAATAAAGTTTGGCAGAACAAAGGGAAATGAAGCTGGGGAACTCAAGCCATGTCATACATTGGCAGCAGCTGGAAGGCAAGATGGGAGTACGGAGAGATGGCTGTCTCTTCACGATCACTGTGTTTACGGAATTGACCAAAACTCCTGTTCCTTCTGGTTCCAGAGGACAGTTTCTCAAACATTTAAATTTAATGAAGACCAGACTCTCATTGGGGCTACACCCCTTTTACACCCAATAAACAGCATCAATGCCATCGATTTCTGACCCTGACCCAAGAATTGTACAGTACTTATATTTTTGGGAACAAAAAAAATGACATGAGCACATGATCTTTTTGGGAAAATAAACATTTGGATTCAACCAGGCTTGGTTCTATTTATTATAAGATTTAAGTTTACTGAAGATTTTAAGGCAACTGATAAGTTGGCTATATCCATTTTCTCACTGGCATTCAAAATAATGTAACAACTTTTTTAATGATACTGAAACAAACTCAAAAGAAACAAAGGGTGTGGGATACTCACAGTGATCGCAGGGCAGTGAGCTGACGGAAAGTATCATGCTGAATCTCATAAATTTTGTTGTGATGCAGGTCACTGAAAATGGAAACAGACAAATGAGGCTTAACTATCAGGCTCTCAATTTGATGGACATTCCGCATTTCTTGGATTAGAATTCTAACAGGTCAAAACAAAAGTCACTTGTTCAAATTAGTGGATTTTTCTTAAACATACCATCATTTAACAACGTGAACCCTTGATTCATATTTGCCTACAAGGCATCTCAAAACATTTCTATCAGCAGAGGCTTTGAACTTACAGCTTCTGAAGCTTCTGGCAGCCAAAGAAACTTGGGAGTTCTTGGATCCAGTTGTAAGACAGATCTCTGTTAAACACAAAATCACAATTTCTTTAAAAAAAAAGTAACAATTTATCATTTCATCAGCTGCTTTGTCTGTGCTTTGTTGCTTGTAGCCAAGCAAAGGCTTTGGGCAAGAGTTTCACCGTTATCACCACTCACACAGCAACATTATCACAGTGGGTTGCAGCAATGTTCTTATTGGTGACTGCCAGGGTGGAACTATCATTAGGATGACCAATCAGCCAGTGACATTAAAAGATTTTCACCCAAACATGAAAGAAAAATCACAAAAAATCGTTTTACACAGAGCAAATTGAAGATTGGTACATGTAGAGGAGTTGATATAACTGACCGGCAGCCAGGCCATTTCAGGGGCAGTTCAAAGTCAATCAATTTGCTGTGGGCCCTGAGTCACATGTAAATCAGATTAGGTGACAGATTTCCTTCCCTAAAGGATATTGGACTGATGGAACAGCAAGTTACGTTCATGCTGCATAAGTACCAGGCAATGACCTTTGGCAACAAGAGAGAATCTAACCATTGCCACTTGACATTCAGTGGCATTACCATCACTGAATTACCCACTACTGCCATCCTGGAGGATGCCACATTGACCAGAAACTGAACTGGATTAGCCATATAAATCTTGTGGTTATAAACGGAGGTTAAAGATTCTGCAGTGAGTAACTCACTTCCTGTCTCCCCAGTGCCAGTCATTAATCTTCAAGGTACAAGTCAGGACTATGATGGAATATTGCACTCCAGTGCAGCTCCAACAACATTCAAGAAGCTTGACAGCATCCAAGGCAATGAATTTTATTTGACACTGTCACCAGCCAAAATGCTCGCTTACTTTTTCCAAGACAAAAACAGGAGAAAGAATGAATGAGAGATAGTAGGAACTGCAGATGCTGGGAAATCTGAGACAACAAGGTGCAGAGCTGGATGAACACATTTTTGATGAAGAAATATTGACAGGTTTCTAACACTTTAAGTTTTAGATGGTATACTTTTAAATCCAGGAATAATAGGTAATGGTTGATCAATTCATAACTTACAAAACTTGCAAATTTGGTAGCTGTTTGCAAACAGTGCTTGGAAGAGAAGTAATTTGCGCTCCTGTCAGAGTCCTGTAAAATAAAAGTTGTTGTTCTTGGTAAATATAATATGTATAATCAGTGTTTCATTTCTAAATATATTGTGGAATATCAGTCAAATATGTTCAAAGTTTGGTTGTGGAAAACTTACAGACTTTCTAAACTTATGGTGCCAGTAAGATCTGGAAATTCAGTTATTTCAGTTGCTCCATTAAGTGAGCTAGAAAGAGAAAAGGAATTAATATTTAAGAAACTAGTAAAAATTTTTGGCCTATATACCTTTCACCAGATCTCAGTGATATGAGTGTTTAATTTGTACTTACAGTATGCGTAACTTAGGCAGGTGTTGAAAAGCAGATTTTCCAACAAACTGGATGGAATTATCGTAGAAATGACTGCAAAGGAAAAGCACTTTAAACATGCCTGCACTTTCAACACTGTATCTTCAGAAAAATAATTGGCTTGGAAACTTGATGTTGCTAGCTTTTAATTCACTTTAATTAAGTTTCAAAGAAGAGTTATATCGGATTCAAAACGTTAACTCTGTTTCTCTCGCCACAGATGTTTCTGACCAGGTCAGTTTCTCCAGCACTTTCTGTTTTTATTTTAGATTTCCAGCATCTGCAGTCTTTTGCTTTTAATTGAATGAAAAGTTGTTAATTTGTTGATGTTAAAAAGTGAACAAAAACAGAAATGAGACTCTGGACTCAATCGACCCTTTAGTAATTTAGTATGTAAAAATAAATATTAAAATAAAACTTACATTGTTAGGAGCGATGGATTGCCAACAAACGCATGTTCAGGGATTGATCGAATGTTGTTGCTGTGAAAGCCCCTAGAAGATAATTTATATCAAATGGACAATGCCATACAATAGTCTAGAGTTCCAAAAATCTCTACGACATCATCATAGTCTCAAAAGTAAATTGTTCTTTCTTGCTATTTATGTTCACCTGTAAACCTACAAGCACAGGATAATTATTTTAAGATCACATTTCACTTTCTGATTTCAGAAATAGTTTGCTGTGTGATGTTCTATGAGATGTTCTCACATGAACTGCTGTAATAGGAATATTATATTCCTATTTGTAGGATTTTCTTCTTTTAATAGCAATAGTAAATTACATTGCTATAGCAGAATTACCTGAGGTACCTGAGGGAATGCAATGGTCAAACAAGAGCAGCATAATAAGGGAAATAAAGGGATGTGGTCAAAGGAATGGTTGAAAAGATACATTTTTGAGACACAGCTGAAAATAGGGGAGTTGTATAAAGGAGATCAATTGGAATAGAAAATCCCAGGATCTAGGAGCCAAAATTTCTGAAGGTTCTACCACTGATGGTGGGACAAAGGGCTGAGGATTTACGATACGCAGAACTGGAGGAGAACTGCAGAAGGCTGTCAATACAAATTAAGATAAGCTTTTGAGGTTGAAGGATTGATGGCTTGAGAAGTAATAGAGATATGGGAGGCCACTAGTGACAAGTGTGCAATGATACGCTGGATGACTTGAGGTTTAGTCAGCCTGGAGCTTGTGATGCCAACAGGAGGATATCAACAATGTCTAATTCAGAACTGTCAAGCATAGCTCCTTCTCCTACTTTGATTTTGAATGTGCTGACTATAAAATATTGGAAATGAAAAGTCTTGAAATCTCCTTTTTAAAATGTAAGCATGAATTCTCCTTTTTCAAATCTCTTATCCATCAGATCTCCCAAGGACCTGCATCACCCATAGACAAACAACTTCTCCTAATACAATGAGTTGCCTGGAATCCTGCCAAAATAGTCTCTTGAGGTTTTTATTCAGCCGATCTTCCTTTTAATGGAAGGAACCCGACCTTTGCTTAATATCTCCCCCAGCTTCTGTGCTCCTACATGTATGCGCTCCAACATGGCATTGCTTCTGCCAGCTGAAAACTCCCTCAACTTATCATTTTGATTTATAGCAACCCTTCCCTTGCAGATTTGTGTGCGCGCCAATCACCTGGACTCAGAGCTATGACCAATTTTCTTTTCTACAGACTGTTACAAATTTTGCAGTAACTTCCAAGTGAGGGGTAGAAAAAAAGGTTTTGAAATATAAAATACACCAAGTGCTCAAAGTGTATTGGTTGTTTCACAGCAGAGTCTTTAAATGCAGTGACAGTATCTCATTCAGCTAATTTCTCTTCTGACTTCCAGTTTCTACTCTAAGATCAGAATCAGCATGATCATTATTAGAGCTCGCGTAACATGACAAAGAGAATTCCAACCTTGAGAGCAGAATTGGCATTCTTGCAATATCATTAAAAATGCAAAAGATTTGGCCCAAAGATTTGTTGGCACTATCCAGTAATTTAACAATATAATGCATAACAACACTGAACACCCACTGTGAGATGGCACTGCTAGCTCCATTGTGATTGCTTCGATGATAAAGCTGCACCTACTTGTTCGAAGAGAATCCTGGTTACATGGGATACTTACAGCTCTTTAAGATTTGTTAATGTCTTTATCGCAACAGGAAATTCATCCAGATTGTTGTAGTTCAAATCTCTGCATTAGATAACAAACGTTAGGAAATAAAACGAGGGTCATTTGCAATTGTGACCAGAACGAATTTAGTTAAATTTCAAACCAATGTTTGGCAGCAGACTCTTTGCAAACTTCATTTCACTTCCAGCTTTTAACATTCATGTAATGTCACAACACTAATAATACAAATTTTTAGCAGAATGAATGAATGCACTTATGTATAATTTTAAAGACTGAAGTGTCTTTTGAAAAACTCAGGGAATCCTTTGAAAGCATGGTTCATCAAGCAAATGTCAACTTTCAGAAGGTAAATCAAGTTATAATATGCTAAAGTCTGCAGAATAAATACATTTATTTATTGTTGAAAAACTATTTTGCTTTCATATTAAAGAGCTTCAGTGCTCTAGCATTTTTAAAAATTCATTCACAGGATGAGCACATTGCTGGCTAGACGAGCATTTATTGTTTGTTCTGAACTGTCTTTGGGGACATGGTGATGAGCTACCTTCTTGAACCTCTGCAGTCCATGTGGTGCAGAGACACCCACAGTGCTGTTATGTACAGAGTTCCATGAGTTTGACCAAGCAGCAATGAAAAAAACGATGTTTTCCAGGTCAGGATGGTATGTGACTTTCAGGAGAATATGAAGGCTCCCAATGTACCTGCTTCCGTTGTCCTGTAGGTAATAGATGCCATAGGTTTGGAAGGAGATTTTGAGGAAGCCTCGGCAATTTACCACCGTGCAATTTATATATGGCACACACTGTTGTCACTGTGTGCTGGGAATTGACTAAATGACTATTGAAGGAGGTGGATGGAGTAACAATCAAGCGGGCTGCTTTGTTCTAGGTTCTCGAGTGTTGTTGGAGCTACACTCATCCAGGCAAGTGTGGTGGATTTCATCACACCTCTGACTTGTACCTTGTAGATGGTGAACAAACTTTGGGAGTCAGGACCTGAGTTATTTGCTGACATATTCTCAGTTTCTGATCTGCTTGTGTAGCCACAATATTGATTTAACTGGTCTACTTTGTTTCTGGTCAATGGTAACCTCATGGTATTGATAGTGGGGAACTGGGTGGAGATCATCCATTCAGTAAGATGGATGCAATTGCTTTGCACTGATATGTTGGCCTCCCCATCATTGAGAATAGGGATCTTTGGAAGCATTCTCCCCTTTATTAGCTGCTTACAAATCTGCCATCATTCATAATTGGATGAGAGAGCCTAGCTCTGACCTGTTGTGTTTCAGGTCTCTGAGGTTTCACTAGCTCATTTAGCACCTCAGTTCTGGGTGTGCCTGGAGTTAACTCTGGCATGCTCTGTATGCTCCCCATTGAACCAGGTTCACCACTTATTCCTAAAAGTCACAGTGAGGGACATGCGGAGCCATAAGGTATAGGTTCTGGCATAATACTGAAAAGATGGCCCACAGCATCTTGTGGAGGTACAATCCTACAGACACCACAAATGGATTTTGCACTCTTCTGGCTATTGAAATCAATAAGAAGCAATGTAAGTCATCATTGTTTACAGCCGACGTTGGCAGGAGTCCCTCGAGAACACCTGATTTCCATTCAAAAACTGCCACAGGCCTGCTACTAAAGGGCCAGAGAGAAGGGCCACTTTGTTCTAGTCCATGAGGTGAATTGTCCCAGTTTTTCAGGGGGCAGGCTTAATGGCAGGACCAGGGGAAATTCAGATATGTTGGTGTAGAGTCAGTGGACTGACATGGTCCTGCCTCCAGTCAATCTCACCAGAGATGGCTTATTGCTTGGAAAAGCGACACAAATGCAGCAACGGAGTTAACAAGGTGTAGAGCTGGATGAACACAGCAGGCCAAGCAGCATCAGAGGAGCAGGAAAGCTGCTTCAGGACGTGGTTGAGCAGTTTCAGGGCCGAAGAGATTACGAGAGAGTTGCAGTGGGAGAGAGATCCACTGAGGTCTTTCCGGAGGGAGGAGGGTAACTTCTTCAAGGTAGGCATCCTTAGAAAAGGCTTCGCAGTGGGGTTAAAATTGTTTCAGAGACAGTAGGAACTGCAGATGCTGGAGAATCTGAGATAACAAGGTGTAGAGCTGGATGAACACAGCAGGCCAAGCAGCATCACAGGAGCAGGAAACTGAGTGTCCAGTTTGAGTAAGTAACTGGATAGGAAGTTTGGAAGATTAGGATTTTCCCCTCAGCAGACCTTGAAGGCACTGTGTAGAAATTGCCTGGAGACCACTTAGATGAGGAACCTAGATGGCCTCCTATTCTAACACCATGCTTACACCAGACCAACAACAATTAGCTGTGATTTTCCTCCATGAGTTTGGCAGCTGTGGCTAGAGTTTGCAATTTAAAAAAATTCTATCCATCTCAGCAGGTGTGTCAAGATAGAAATGGCCTCACTGTCCCCCTTCCTGCAAAGGAAATGGCCACCTTTACCAGTGGGGCTGCTTTCTTTCTATGTTTGCAGGCCCTCTTGTTAGGCTGTATTTGGATGGTGGACTTGGAAGAGGCAAAAATTCTGTCTCCGGGAAGGTCTCACAGCTGGGCATGCTAACTGCAAAATGTGGGATTGGGATCCAGACGTGGTCTCAGCCCTTAATTAATTTTAAAGAGGATAACTCTCTGTCACACATTAGCAAATGCAGCACTTGGAGATTGGTCTATATTGCTTTTGCATGTCTGTTCCGACAAACATAAAACTGAATTAACTTTTTTGGCAAGCTCACACGTTCACAGCCAGAGATATCCTTCTGATTTGATTTTCATACAAAATACTGCACAGGCCATGTATTATAAAAGTAGTGTGAAGGGTCACAGATGATGGTGTCAACTGTTCTGTTTGGCTGTTTGGTGTTTTGCTTCAAGAATGTGCTGAAAGAAGTCTTTAATTGGTTTTTAATTAAGTTTGTGGTTTGGTTTCGGATACAAGCAAGGAAACCAGGACAGGAAAAAGATTGCAGTGTCTGCTCTCCATGGGTTGCTTAAACATCTAAAATATTTAAGACCAAATTCAGATAACAACTAACTTGTACAACAGTTGACAAAGATTTTTATGTTTACTTATCTGTTAGGTAAGTCATTAAACACCACAAATGGATTATTTTTGCAGTACTTGATACCATATCTATAAGTTTTATGTCAGAAGTCACATGACAATCCTTCACCTGACGAAGGAGCAGTACTACGAAAACTTGTGATTTCGAATAAACCTGTTGGACTATAACCTGGTGTCGTGTGACTACTGACCTTGTCCACCCCAGTCCAACACCAGCACTTCCACATGTAAGTTTTATAACTTTGCACAGGTTTTTATGTCATATGGGGTCCTGAAATGTTTCCTATTGCTGGAGAACAATGTAAGTTTTCAAATGAAGAGACAGAATAACTAGAATTTCACTGGTGATTGTGTTTCATTTTAAAGATTTTGTTAATTCCTCAGTTACTCTGGTATCTTTTTTCTGAATTTCTGTTTTTATATATTGAAACATTCAAAACAGGGGAGAGAAAAAAACAAGATGCCAACTTACAAAGTTTCCAGGCTGTGGAGACCATCAAAGCATCTCTTTCCCAGGGAGTGGATTTGATTGTTATGGAGATGCCTGCAGGGTATCAATAATGGCACAGTCATGAAAAGAACGTGCACATGACAGACTTAAACAAACTTTTTGGTTGCAGTACTTCAGCCATTCCAATTATTTATTCCATTCCAAGTTATACCTATACATTAAATATTTGCTGCTATAACAGTGTACCTATGTTCAAAATTGAAAATGATGTCAGATTTATGTTAAACCATCACTCCTTCGCAAAAAAAAATTGTACATGATCTCCTGAAGTTTACACAACAGTTCAAATTCTGTTCAGACTCTATGGTGTTAAATGACCAGTTTGATTAATGTGAGTAGTTTTCATTCCCTTTGAAACATTTTAAAAGACTCGCATCATTTCAGAGCCACAGTTAAATCAGCTGTCAAAAGGGTGCGAGTTTTCACTCCAACAAGGTTAGACTACTGATGTCATTAAACCTGCAGTTTTCAGTTGTATGAGGGGTTTACTAGAAAGTTCAGCACTTCTCCCCTCTTTACAAATCCTGATGGACCCTGCTCTGTCTGCACAGCTTAGTCTTCTCTTATTTCAGAGCTTCAGCATTTGGATTTGACATTCTGTATTATTTACAGCATTGCAAATCAATAATAAGTTGGGATGAGTTCAAAGGATTATTATTGGAAAGCTACAAAAGCTTCTGTGAGAGGTATTTTGATTCCAGATGCAGCATCAAATTGAAAAGTTAATCTCCCTGTCTGCAATCAATTTGTACACTGAAGCATTTATTCACTTTATCAGAAAATTTGAAGATAATGTGAAGAATGGACTATTGAAGTTCATCTTTCAACTCTTCTAGAAAACACCATTGGACTGCCACAGTTCAAGAAGGCAGTTCACCACCACCCCTGCAAGGGCAATTAGGGATGGACAATAAATGCTGGCCTAGTCAGCAATGTCCACATTCTGCAAAATAATTTTTTAAGTCCTTGGTGCTACAAAATTCCCTTTTAGAATATGCCAAATATTTTCCATCCTTTCAGTAAGGATTTGATTCTTTTTATAAATTGTGTTAAAATTACTTTTCAGTAATTTCAATGAATGTGCTTTATTCTTAACTACCTAACTTACTTTTAAGCAGTATCTTTTGACAGATGTATCTTTTTTATGTAAAGATGCATTTTCTGGTTCCTATTTTCACCAAGTTTTCTTCACAATATCCCTAAGACCACAAGGCTAGCAGACAATACCTACTGCACTGCCTGGATTAGAAGTAGTTCTTATCACATTTTGAATGACTTTGATAACATAGTCCTATACTTTTACAAAGCTGTTCACGCATTCACTTCACAATATCATATAGTTGAATTGGTAAATTAGCACTTAAATCTCTTCCTAAATGATAATGCTTCAAGTGATATGTGGGAATGGTACCCTTTTCTCTTGTTCTTCTCTGAAGGTAATCAAGTCACCTTCGAATAATATTTTCGCTTTCCCCCACTACTAAATGTATGATCTTGCTTTGAGAGGAAGGACTGACATTGTATACTCCATGACATGGCAGGCTTAAGCAATTAGAAAATCCCTCAAACTAGTGTTGTTACAATCCACAGACTTCAAAATGCAATTCCAAAGTATTTTGTGTTTCAAATTTGTCACAGTTCATCAGGAGACTTGGTTCAAGGCAGTGTCTCACTTGGAGTGAGTGATAAGCTTGGTCTTTCAACAAGCAAATGAATGACTTCGAGAAAATGTAGAAAATTAGTTTTCAATACTGAATGAAGGGACAGTTTTTTTTAAAAAAGACACTGAAAGATTCATCAGGTTAGGGCAGGGAGAACAGACTTTATACATAGCCAATATTTCTGTAGGATGTGCAGTGTATTGTACAAAAGTGGTACGGGTTTTTCAGTTTTGTTAAGAATTTAATGGGGAATAGTTTTTTTGTAGTTTAGTACATTAGTTGTCTACTAGATAATGTTTAATTGCTGTTGATTTTAATTTATTTGTTAGAGTAAAAGCCTTAAAGTGTGAGATCCAGCCATTCAGCTACATTATGGCCATGTCTACCTCAATTCCATTTTCTCCAAATCCCTTGACATTCTTATATACCAAACTTCTATCAATGTCAACGATGAACATCTTAATGAACTCAGGGGCTACAGCCTTTTAAAGGAGAAAGTTCCAGATTGCCAACATCCTTTGTGTGAAATAACGATGTGGCTACTCATTGTTAGTTTTCCATTGAGAATTTGTGTTGTAACCCCTACAATACCTTTCCTGAGGTGCAATGACCAAAACTGAATGCAAGAATTCCAGAAAAGACCCGGTATCAGATAATGATGTGGAGGGGTCGGTGTTTGACTAGGGTGGACAAGGTCAGAAATCACAGGACACCAGGTTATAGTCCGACAGGTTTACTTGAAAACACAAGCTTTCGGAGTGTAGCCCCTTCATAGGTGAAGTGAGAAAGAAGCACACAGAACACAGAATGTATAAGAAAAAGATCAAAGGGTCACACAACTGATGAGGATGTATTAAACAAACCTAAGATGATGTTAAATCTTTAATCATTTAGAAGGTTTTAATTGATTAGTATGTGTATGTAAATACCTGAATGTCTTTTAAGTCACTGCCCTGAGAGAACTAAAGGTTTTATCAGTGTAAAGACAATGGATGAATGGACACTGCGCAACAATAGCCAAACAGGGATGTCCCTCCCAGTGGGGGAACAATTCAGTGGTCAAGGACATTTGGCCTTGGATTGTCGGGTAAACGTCCTCGGGATACCCAACAACGCAGAGTCGCCAAGCAGGAAGCAGAGGCTGATTGCTAGGTTCGGTACCAATGAGGACGGCCTCAACTGGGATCTTGGGTTCATGTCGCACTACAGGTGATCCCACCACACTGTATACACACACACACACACACACACACACACACACAGACACACACACTCCCTCTCTCTCTCTGTCTCGCCCTCTGTCACACACACACACAAACACACTCTCTCTCCCTCACACACACAACCTCCCATACACACACACACACCCTCCCCCACAAACACACACACACACACACACTCCCTCTCTCTCTCTCCCTCTGTCACACACACGTACACACACACACACAAACACACTCTCTCTCCCTCACACACACAACCTCACACATACACACACCCTCCCACACACCCTCCCCCACACACGCACACATACATACACACACACACACGCGCGCACACACACACACCCTCTCACACACACACACCCTCCCATACACACACACCCTCCCACACACACACACACACACACACACAAATCTATGGGGTGAATATGTATTTGCAGATACATTCTATTTTGTTCAAAAAGCATGCAATTTATAGACAGTCAGTCAATGTGGTGTTTTATAAATTCTTACTTTAGAAATAAAACCAGTCTGACTTCAAACCCAAACACAGAGTCTTAACAAGGCCTCACACCTAACATGCATTGTCTGACCTAAAATGTAACCTCTTCTTTACACTGATAAAACCTTTAGTTCTCTCAGGGCAATGACTTGAAAACAGTTTGGGGATTTACACATACATTTTAATCAATTAAAACTGTCTAACCGATTAAAGATTTAACAGCATCTTAGGTTTGTTTAATACATCCCCATCAGTTGTGTGACCCTTTGATCTTTTACTTATAAATTCTGTGCTCTGCGTGCTTCTTTCTCACTTCAACTCAGCAAGGCACTACACTCCGAAAACTTGTGTTTTCTAATAAACCTGTTGACTATAACTTGGTGTCGTGGGGTATCAGATCAAATATCATTCAGTGGATCAATTGGTTTCGTTTGTCATGTGATTAAAAAATTAATGGTTTCCATCACAGTGCTCAAATCAAACCACATTCTGGACCATACTGTGATGCCCTATGCTTTACTGGCATATAAACACAGACAAGAGATTAGAGGGTTGCCAGCACTATTAGAATTCAGTGCCAGTTTGAGTCATGTTCTTCAGGAGTGTTAACAACACAAAACAATGCCATGGGTTTGATTTTGCAGATACTCCTCCAATGTACAGTTTTGTGTGACCATTATTCACCCAAGCCCCAACTATCGTTTTGCATGATTCTTTGCATTGTGATATTATAAATCAGTTCTGGTATAAACTCCCACAGCTACACAAACATATAGTGAACAAAGGTATTATTAATAATGCATCTTAAAATCGTGGGAACCATCACCTGAGAGTGCACATTCTATCAGTGAACTGAGCTTCAGTTATGGTAGATTTCAACTTACAGAAATCATAGGAAAAATGTTGGTTACATCTGCTATTGTTCGTGGGATGAAAGATTTCCCTTTAAAGATAGCTTAAGAGATCAAGAAATTGTTTAATCAAAATAGACATCAACAACCTCAGTTGCTACTGACCAAGGAAGTGACTTCAGGTTACCAAATCACCCCATTATAATTAGTGAGCAAAATGATGTTTAGTTTTATGAGGATAAACTTTGGAATGCATTCTAGGAATTATTCATCTATTTTCCAATACACAAGACTGTGGTAGTAATATGTATTTATATTTATTACGTTTTTGTATGTATCAAAACTGTACTCAAACATTGCATTCAGACATCCTTACTCAGTGATGGGCATGCAGATTTGGTTGAAAGTTATCAGACAGGATCTTCCAGGGATGCCTTATGACTGCTGGGAAACATCCTAGCAGCAGAAATGCTGGAAACAGTTCTGGCACAGTATCCCTCAACCCCTTAGACCTCTCACAGAAGGGGCAATTCAGCCCATTGTTTTTGAATGATATTACACAGAAGTTACACATGTCAAACTCAATTCTGATTATGTCACTTCTTCTTTAGCTACAATCAAAACTTTCAGCAACAGCACCTAGTTGTCTCTCAACACTTTCTACTTAAATTGTAAGGAATTTGAGCTTTTTGTTTAGTCATACATGGGATGTGGGCATTGCTGGCTGGGCCAGCATTTATTGCTCATCCTTAATTGCTCTTGAGTAGATGGTGGTGAGGTGCCTTCTCAAATTGCTGCTATCCATTTGATTTAACTACACACTGCTAGCGAGAGACAGCCAGATTTTAACCCCGTGACACTGAAGAAACGGCAATATATTTCCAAGTCAGGATGGTGAGTGGCTTGGAGGGAGCTTGCTGGTGGTAATGTTCCCATGTAAATGCTGTCCTTGATCTTCTAGATAGTATTGGTCATGAAATTGGAAGGTGCTGTTTAAACAATTAGCGTCAAAGGGCAACAGTCTCTGGTATTACTTGAGTAGTAATTTAGTGCATGGTTAAATAAAGAGCCTCAAGTTAAATGGCAGCATCGATTATTAATTTAGTAGGTGATTGTTTGCAAGATCATAATATATTTCTGTAAATAATTTGAAACAGACTAAAAGTATTTTGATTCGTATTCACTGTTGGACAAAACTTCTGTATAGTACAATAGTTTTGGCATCGTAAAGTGAATTCAACTGACTGCTCTCGACTGAGCTGTTTAGATTGGCCACAGGACAGGTCAAATAATTTCTGCATTTCACGGTACACTTAGTGCCACTATTGCTTATTTATTCGAAAATTGTACCATATCTGTACAGAAATATCTTTACCCGTTATGCGTATTCAACAATGAGAACAAAAGCAACATTACTTACAGAACTACCAAACTGGAAAGATTCTGAAATGCATAGTCTGGGATATGAGGAATTCTATTCAGGGCCAAGGTCATGGCTTGTAGACAAGGTAAACTGCTCAGAGCTTTGACTGGAATATCTGTCAGGGCATTGTCATCTAGCCAGAGATGTCTAAGTGAGACCAACCCTTTGAAGCAGTTTGATGGCACAACAGAGATATGGTTGGCATCCAGTCTCCTAGCAAATAAAAAAAAGATGAGTTGAGATTTGTTTTTTAAGGGTTATGAATTTGTGTCAAATAAGCTCTCAGGCATTTTGTCAATATTTTGTTAACATGATATCAGATAGATTTTAACAGAACATACTATCCTTTCTTTTGAACAGTTCTATTTTTCCATTTACACAATAGTCACTGTTTACATAAACACTTTAAAAGTAATTTATAACAGCCTGTCAAACACAGATTGGGACATAAACAATCAACCCAAGCACAACCTTTATCAGAGCATATTTAATTTCAAATATATTACACTGAATTATTTTCTCGATGCATGTATGATATACACTGAACTGACATTGTACAACATTCTATATTTATTGCATGCACTGAATTCCTTCCAGCCACAACAACAGATTAGCCTGTGTATAGGGTCCAACAATCTCTTTGCTTAAATTGTAAAAAATTTTAATCATGTTGATTTTAATAATTCCACTAGTTATAAGCATCATTTGGACCTGCCCATGCTTCAAAAATCACTAAAATATCAAACTTTGGTATCTTGAAAAGGGGAAAAGAAATGTTAACACTTGCAGGGTAATTGTGACAGATATAATTTATGATTTGCAGGAAAACAGGTGCAAAAAGTTTTTTTAATATTATTTTTGCATTTAGTTAGATTTTCACATTCTCTTACTGTGATATTATTAGCCATATGTGTTTTAGTACTCATGACCAAATTAAAATCGACCTATCTCAGCCTTAAATAGTCTTAAAGGTGAAGGATCCATAACCTTCTGAAGTAGAGAAGTCCAAAGATTCACAACCCTCTATGAGAAGAAATTTTCCTCATTTCAGTCCTAAATGGTCAACCCCTTGTCCCAAGACTAAGCCCAGGTCCTCGGTTTCCCAGCTAAGGGAAAACAACCTCTCAGTCTCCAACCTGTCAAACCCTGTTCAACATCAGAAAAAAACTCTCTTCCCAGGAGCCAATTTAGTGGACCTTCATTATACTGCCCCCCATGCAAGTATATCCTTTGTTAAGTATGGAGAACAAAACTGTGCATTTAGAATTATTAAGTTTTTGTATGTTACATTAAAAGAGTGAGGATGATTGATTTTGTTCTATTTTTGTACGTTTGAATATGAATTAGGAACAGAAGTAGGCCATTCAGCCTATGAGTATGCTCTGCTATTCAATAAAACCACAGCTGATCTGTTTGCATTTTGCAAAAGCTTTGATAACCTTAGATGCCCTTGTTTAAATAGAATCTGTCTACCTTTGCTTTAAAAAGTATTAAATGAACCCCACCTCCACTGGCTTCTGAGGCAGAGAGTTCAGATCTCCAGTATCTGCAATATTTTGATTTTATCTAATTTTCCTCTTCCTGGTAGGGAAACACAAATACTTAAACTTGCTCTGTTACCCTTTAGTAACTTTAACACTGAAATAACTCCATGAAAGCTGGTATTCTGTCACCCGTTATTAACACATGCACTGTATTTGGATTCTGACCAGCAGGCTCAGAGTCAGTCTTTAGAGCGAAGAGACTCTCGGACACTCCTGTTTATATCTGTCAGTCAAGACTCCCCGATCAGCCCAGATTAACAGTCCCAATCAGGGGTGTCATACTCAATGAGATCCACTTGACCAACCTCATTCCAATCACTACAAACACATACCAATTTTGTGTTAGTTCAGGCTTTGTGTGTTTTGATCTAAGTGGATTTGCTGAATTTTTGCTTCGGAGCTGGGAGTGCAAATTCGTGAACATTACTGAGGTTGCTAATCCAAATTGGGAAAAAGTCCCCTGGATGTTTTAATGTTTGGCCTTGGGGTGCATGGAACTATTCAAAGGAGTTGGGTCCACTTCCCTTGGGAAGAATTCAAAGACAGCCACAAGAGCTGCCAAGAGCACATACTGGCTCTGTGAAAGGCTCACCTTAATGATCCGGGTGTCACAGCTGTAAAAACTAACCATACGTAAGATAAACATTCTGTAGCCCTCACCCCTCAGACCCCATTACCCACTACACCAGCCCCATGCCCCATCCATGACAACTCATGCCACCTTATGTGCCAACCCAACTTCCATAACCTCTCTTACCCTCCATGCCAACCTATATCCCTCTACTTATATCTCATTGCCCTTTATAGCCCCTATGGCAACTTCGTGCCTTTGCTCATACATGCTCCATGCCAAATTACCCAGTATCCACCAAAGGCAGATCTCATGAGCCAGATGGAGATGAAACAATATAAAGTCATCATTGACTTAGAGTCAGAGTTCATAGAGTCATACAGCATAGAAACAGACCCTTCGGTCCAACTTGTCCCTACCAACCAGACATCCAAATTTGATCTAGTCCCATTTGCCAGCATTTGGCCCATGTCTTTCGAAACATTTCTTATTCATATACCCATCTGAATTCCTTTTAAATATTGTACCCATCTCCACCAATTCCTCTCAATCCATATACACACCACCCTCTGCGTGAAAAAGTTATCCCTCAGGTCTTTTTAAATCTTCCCCCCTCACCTTTAACCTATGCCCTCTAAATTGGACTCCCCCACCCTAGAAAAAAGGCCTTGGATATTGACTCTATCCATGCCCCTCATGATGTTATAAACCTCTATAAAAGGTCATCCCTCAACAAATCAAGACCCTTCCAGTAGTCAGTCTTCTATAAAATTATCTTTTGAATTTACAGGTCCACATCAAACATCTGGAATAGTCAATCAATCTGTGAAATGACTATTCACTCCCAAAACCTCTGATGATAGTGATAAGTTGTGAAATGAATTATGCAGCACTCTTCCTACAATGTTAGCCCTGAATGAAGTTTTGTCACCACAGGTTGGATTTTAAGAAAAAGATTAAATAGCTTGGGTATTTAAATGCCTCAACAGCATGACAGTTCCAATATATAGGAGTATAGCAGCTGGGAGGTCATGTTCCTGGTCTCCCTGCTACAGGAAAGATGTTGTGAACCTTTAAAGGGTTCAGAAAAGATTTACCAGGATGTTGCTAGGGCTGGAGGGTTTGAGCTATAGGGAGAGGCTGAATAGGCTGGGGCTATTTTCCCTGGAACACTGGAGGCTGAGGGGTGACCTTACAGAGGTTTATAAAATCATGAGGGGATGGAAAGGGTGAATAGCCAAGGTATTTTCACTGGGGTGGGGGAGTCCAAAACTAGAAGGCATAGGTTTAAGGGGAGAGGGGTAAGATTTAAAAGGGACATAAATCTTACCCTTCTCCCCTTAAACCTATGCAACATTTTCATGCTGAAGGTGGTGCGTATGCAATGAACTACCAGAGGAAGTGGTGGAAGCTGGTACAATTACAACATTTAAAAGGCATCTGGATGGCTATATGAATTAGAAGAGTTTAGAGAGATTTGGGCTAAATGCTGGCAAATGGGACTAGATTAATTTAGGATATCTGGTCGGCATGGATGAGTTGGACTGAAGGGTCTGTTTCCATTTTGTACAGCTGTATGACTCCATGACTCTATATCCACTTCTTACACACATTCATGTCTGCTTTAAACAATCCCAATGGGTGTTTGATGTTGAACAAAGGCTCCCTTACTGTTTCCAAATGACTGTGGCAGCTGAAGATATCTAAAGCTTGTAACTTTGTGAAAGAATGTTCTGATTAAAACATTTCAAGAAGACTACAAGAATTTTACTGCTTGTGAATTACACAACAAATCAAAAAGAATTAAAATGAAAATGGATGAGTATTTTTCAAGGACGTTAATACACTATTTGGCTCTGTTATATAGAATTTAACAAGCACAAATGTAAAATGATCTTCATCAAAACGCATAAAATTATGTTTTGCGCATCGTCCTGATATGAATTGGATCTGGCTAAAAGCAGCTGTACTTTTACATGTGCAGCTGCCTTGGATGTGCAAACCACAAAAGATGCCTGCTCCATTACTACTACCACTTCCTCCCTCACCCCCCAAAAAAAGCAGCAGGACCTCATCAGTGGGGCTTCACTACTATTTTGGCTAAATCAAAGGTATCTTCTAGCCTTGCAAAAATTCAGGCTAATGAACGCCTTTCTCAATTAGAACATAAGAATTCATCTGCATAGTTGAAGCCAAGTATTTCTAGTCTGTATTGTTCATGTGACCTGATATTCAGATATATGTGTAGACTTGTGTGCATTGTTGGGTGCACAAAGCTGAGAGAGATTCAACCAACCAGTGCCATAAATGGTCTTCTCTTCCATTTTTCAGTGCTATGCTGAGCTCAACTGCATGACAGCACAGACTGTCACAGGGCACCAGACATCTAAGACTAATCTTAATGAGTGGTGCATCATGCAAACCTATAGCCACAGCAGCTCATACCTCATGGCACTAGCCAGAGACAAGAGACTGTCAAGTACATGCCAGATCACATGTGCCATTGAGTCGCCCTAGAAGACTTGAATTTGCAATTGCTGTCTGTACGTACTGTAAGGATATGAAAGGTCAAGACAAAAAAAATAGTCTTCACAAAATTTGTGTTTGCAGAAGGGTGTTGTGGTCAATTACACAACACAGTACAAGTTTACAGTGAGGATTTAATTCTTAAAATTGCTTTCTGGCTCCTAATTCAGAAGGGCCGATACTGTTGTTGTTGTTGTTCACAAACTTCTAGCCCATTGTACTTATCAACTAATCAGAAACACAAATATCCGGCCTTGGAAAATTAAGGGTCAACCTCTGAAATAATCATTTATATCAATAAACAATTTATTTTTCTAATGTGCTCACTAATGCCTTCACAAGATAACATTTTCCTACTGTCAACAATGGAGCCTTTGTGATCCTGGGAAGTATTTGAATCCACTATTGCAACAATGTCACATGACATTCAAAGGTCATTGTGACATGGCCTCCTTCTTAATGTGTTTTTCCTTTACTACTAGTTAGCTAGTAAGCTACTGAGCAATTATTTCAGATTTCTTTTTCTCAAAAACAAGTTCAACTGCATGCACAGGAAACAAGTATTCCCAGAC